CATGTTCATTCAATATTCCTGGCACCTGATAAACATCATCAACTGTATTGTCTGCAAAACAACCCCCAGATCATCGCATTTCCTCTACTATGCTTTACAGTTGGCACAACACAAACAGTAATCATTCATTCACTAGTTCTTTGACTCTCACACACTCGCTTCCAAGATCCAAAGATCTCAACTTTAGATTCATCTGTTCAGAGGACTTGCTTCCATTGATTAACAGTCCAGTTTTGAGTTTTTTTTTTTCGCCCATATGAGTCACTTACGTTAATTCGCTGGTCTAAGCAGTGGTTTCCTGGCAGCACAACAGCCATTTAGACCCACTGCAGTGAGTCTTCTCTAAACTGTTAATGCAGACACATTATCTCTGCTAGCCTCACTTATTTATGCAGCAATTTGAGGGACTATCAGATTCCTGTTTCAATGATTCTAATGAACTTCTTTTGTGGATTTTGGCTGACCCAACTGCTGTCTTCTTATTTTTGTCAATTTCCACATTTCTCACATTAGTGGCGTGAACTGCAGTGTATGAAACTAACTTTTTGGGCTATATCTCAGAAACTATAGCCTTCACAACGTAATATCACGATAGTTTGCCTATTCTCAGGTGAAAAATTACATTTCCTGCCCATATTAAGATTATATCTGCAAAATTGAAATTATTAATATTTTTAATAATTGAACCTGAAACGCATAATACCAATTATGAAATATTTAGTGGTGTCACTATATCTGACAATGTATAAGGAGAGCCAATAGTGACTCTGGATTCTTGTAGCAAATTAGAAGGCTTTAAAACAATTTAGAATCAGTGTCCTCATGCTTGGAATGCCAGATAAAGAAGGTACTGCAATAAAAAAAAAATAAGTTATTTCATAATGTATGTACCCAAACCTTGTGCAAAGTGTTATTTCATGTAAGTTCACCTTAAAAAAAAGCACTTTATATTATTGAACTTAAAAGTTGGCTTTGAAACATAATTTTGTAAGTTATCTTAAACTTTTAGAGGGTAGTGTGTGTGTGTGTGTGTGTGTGTGTGTGTGTGTGTGTGTGGTTGGTTTTATGGCATATCAACCTCAATAGGTTATTTAATGCAGACAAAATTTTTTTATATTTTTTTCAAAGAATGTATAGCTGTTTGTATTGCTAGTACCTTTTTTTTTTTTTAAAGTATTGCTGATAATAATTTTTCCTCCAAAAATTATTGCTGGTAATATTTTTTTATTTTTTTTTTTATTACAAAGTATTTCTTGTATTAAAATTTTTTTTACGCAAGTTTGGGTGTCAACTATTTGCCTATAGCTGGGACCCTAACAGGTGCTACCACCTCAAGCCAGGGTGGACCTAGAAATACCAGCAATGAAGAGGTGGTTCCACACTCCTCAAAACCTCCTGATCAGGTGTCTTGCTGTTGGACGTAGTTCATTGTCTTACCCAGGATGGATGGATGGATGGACGGTGTGTATATATATATATATATATATATATATATATATATATATATATATATATATATATATGTGTGTGTGTGTGTGTGTGTGCACATACATACATGAGCTGTGGCCAAAATTATTTGCCTGCTTCTATAGTTTCAAATAAATCTGTAGTACCTCAATTTTTCATGGAAGCTTTATGTGCATTTTTTTCACAAATGATGAAATAACAGATTTGGAAAAATGCGCAGTGATGCCTACAACAAAATGTTTATTTTAATGTCAAACAATAATACAAAAACAACATTGAACACAAAATTATTGGCCCTCTTGCCTCAATAATCAATTGTGTATCCTTTATTCTTGATTATTGCCTTTAATCATTTTTGATAGTTCCTTACAAGATCATTACACACACTGATAAGTATTTTGCTCCATTCTTCCTTGGCAACAGCTTCTAGTTCCTTCAAATTTAAAAGACATCTTTCTCTCTCTCTTTTTTTTTTTTTTTCAAATATGCCACTAAATTTTTAATGGGGTTTATATCAGGACTGTGTAGGGTACACCAACACCTTAATTTTATTTTGTAACAATTTCTGCAGTGTGCCTCAGGACATTGTCATGTTAGAATGTCCTGTGATGCCCCCAAAACAGCTTTTGTATTACTTTCAAGAATAGCCAAATACTGCTCCTTATCCATGACACCCTGTCCTCTCACTAGTTCTCCTAGTCAAGAAACAGCAAAACATCCCCAGAGCAGTTTGGTTTGTGCTCCATTCACTTTCCCCCATATATAATGAGAGTTCAGTAACCAAATAATTCTAGTTTGGTTTTATCTGACCATAAAATAGAGTTCCAGTATTTACTCCGATGTTTGAGATAGCTTCTAGCTTAAGCGAATTTGCATTTTAATTGTTCAGCCATAAGCAAGGGAGTTTAAAATGCTTCCCAATGAAAGCATCTAGTAACTGTTGATACAATCAATACCGATGTTTTTACATCAGTAGACAATGTCATTAAGTGAAGATTCTTTGAGACATTTCTATCAATTTTCCTTTTTTTTTTTTTTATAGAAATTAACAATTTTCAGCCAGTCCTTAATTTATTCTTGATGAAATGAGTCACATTATACTTCTTAATACTATGAACATTTAAATACTTGGAAAGTGTTGTATATCCATCAACTTGTTTGTACACATCAACTATCTTCATTCAGAGTTTCTTGTCAAGTTCAGCCATCTTTTTCTTAGAAAAACAAACGAGACCCTGATGATGATATTGTGCTAATGTCGAAAGTACTCTGAATAGAATGGATATTCATCAACATGGTAATTTTCTTTTTTCCTTTAATAAGGATACTAAGAAACTTTTCCATAATTACTATTAAAAATAATTAGACAAAACTTGTCTAAATTATTTAATGAGAATTATTTTAATGAAAATATATATATATATATATATATATATATATATATATATATATATATATATATATATATATATATATATATATATATAATGTGAGAGAGAGAGATCTATGATAGATATGGGTGTCTTGTAACACATCCCCTACTTTGATGAAAAACTAATGTGTAACTATTAAAATTCAACACCAATATTCAGAATACTTAAAACGATTAATAGGTTACTTATTTTAGTGCATCAATTTACTTATAATTATTGCCATGCGATGCAAACAAGTCAGTGAATTATTCAAACTAGGTACCTTCACTGATTTAAAATGCCTATGGTTTAAAATGAATTTTTCTTGAAGCTTTTATTTTAGTTTTAATTTCAAGCTACCATATATACTTGTAGATAGTTTGCACCAGTAGATAGTTTGCACCATTAGTTTGGGTTGACAAAGTGGGTATTTGCAGTTGACTCAGATAGGTCACTCTATAATCTGGGGAGTTACATTGTCCTTTTTTAATGTAAATATAACTGATATTTGTTAAATATTTTCAAATATTTGCCTTTATTTCCAAACTTTGCTTATATATATATATATATATATATATTAAAACATAAGGTGATTGGTTGTAATTGCATAGTATTTACTTATCAAGTGTGAGGTGGCCCTGCTTAGACACAAAAATGTGGATACTGGTAGTTGCTTGAGCCCTAAAATCACTTGGAAATGATAGTCTTCTGTCATAAATCAGATAATAAAATGGTAAATATGAGCAGTACAGATTGAGTGCTTTTATTCAAGGTGTGACACATTACCATTGGAAATGTCAGGAAAATATTCATGTTCTCCCTTGATCTTGCTTATGTTCAAGTCCAGAGTATTTACCTGGACTATTGATACATCACAGTCTATTTCAGATTCTTTATGATGTTGAGTGAATGCTGCATTCCTGATTTTTAGCAAAATTTTGGTGAAAGAAAGTGCAACCTATTCTTGAGTACATATGGTAATAGATTAAAGTTAATATTTCCAATAAGCAAACTATTTGGCTGTATTTCAAAACTAATTTAAATTGACTGCAAAGAGTTTTCATTTTGAAATTGCTAATCATTGCTGATTTTACTGCCATTTTTAGCCTTCCATCATTTCAATGTAATTCTTTTTTTTAAAAATAAAAATTTAAAGTTCAATTAATCTGAGTTGAAACAAATATTTTTTTCTCCTTTAAGTTTCAAACATTGCAGACATGCCTTTTCTTTAACACAACGGAAGCTGTTTATTTAAGCTGTTCAGTTGTTCACAGCTTGGTGACAAATGGATGTTTATCTATTGTTTTTATGGGAGATTTTTCTGTAAAAAGAAGTATTTGAACTTTATAACATGTGCGCCTTTTATACATAATTTTTAAATACTCAGTAATCTTAAAATTTTGGAAAATATTCTCCGTAATCTAATGTTTTATTGAATTTTAGATATTCTGGCCTTAAATTTACTATAGTCATTGTTCTTATTTTCTGATAATGTCAGATCTCTAAAAATCAGAATGTTTATACAGATAAAAAAAAAAAAAAAAAAATGATGCTTTAAATTCTCTAAGTAGTCCTGCTTTTAACTAATATGAAGGTGGGAGTGAAATTTTAATTTCTCAAAATGTCATAAAATTAAATAAGTGAGGGGGTAACAGATGTACAGTGTAACCCGGATATAAGAGAGATTTTTCTCTGGTCCCAAATTAGAGCCCATACTTACCTAAACAAAATAGACCAAACCCGGATATAAGAGAGATTTTCTCTGGTCCCAAATTAGAGCCTGTGTTAATGTATATAAAATAGACCAAACCCGGATATAAGAGAAACCCGGATATAAGAGACTTCTTCTCCGGTCCCGACAAATCTCTTATATCCGGGTTACACTGTAAAAAGAAAATATTTTTACTAAGATTTTCTAAAAAACTTTTTAATTCATTAGTGAGTAAGTCCTGAAAATTTAATCGAAATCTGACAATTATTTGATTTTTGCAAGAATTTCCAAATCTATGTGTTTTTAATGCAAAAAAGATAAAAATTTCCTATGCTAATCTATTCACATCCTTTAAAAGTGCTTCATGTTGACACTGTTGGACAATTTATCCATCCCTCTTGTACTCTTACCTGCTTGCCTGTTTTTATGCAAATCAACATGGTCGGAAGATTTATATTCTCTTCACATGTAGTACTGTCTGGACTTTCAAAGTATCTCATCTTTCCATTCTTATAGAGCACAAACCAATTCTTTTTCCAACGACGCAGAATACTGCCTGAAATGAAAAGAAACAGCAGATATTCAGAACGAAATAGTGGGTGGAGAGAATCATCATTTAACTTAAGAGACCAAATAAAAGAAAAGTGTAAAATGAAGAGATTTGTTAGGTTTTTCTAAAACACAAAGAGAAACAAACATTTGAGAGTTTTATGCATTTTGGTTGTGCCAATCTCAGAGTGAATTATTTTAGTATGTAACCTTGAAGTGAGTTATTTGATAAACAATTTGAGCTAAAAATCCTCAGCAACAAAACGTGTTCTTTATTTACCTGAAAAGATTTTCTACACATTGTTTCATTCTCTAACACAAGTTTCTATAATGTGAAATTGTCAACTAATAAAGAATGCATAGGAAAACAACGCTTATTCCTACATAAAATTAGAAACAATCTATTCACCACACCATGTATATTGCAGAAAAGGTCAGTACACATGTAACTTCGTGCTCGAAAAAAAAAAAAAATTATCAAAAAGATGATTTTTCCTATGACACTGCTTTTATTTTAACTACCTTCAATTTTCAGCAATGTTTATTGTTTTAAAAAGTGATGATTAGAATCGTAATAAAACCTAAACATATGAAAGTGAATACATACATTTAAATTTGTTCTTGAGAATTGACAACAAAAATAATAAGCACTATTTATTTATTTGATTGTTTATTTACACTATTTATTATATTGTTTATTGGAATGTTTGGCAAAACATCGGCTAATTGCCAATTGATTCAAACTTTATAAAATAGTAAATAAGGATTTCCTTATAAGTGGTTCACATCTTTTAACAATTTAGTAAATGTTTATAAATAAAACATTGTTTTCATATTTATTTCTTTATAAATTGTTAAATGATAAATATTACATTGCATTAGTTTTTAGAATGTTGTAAATATAAAATTATTCTTGTAAATAGACAATCTAATAAATGAATATTGTTTAATATTTTTCTTGTAAATTCTCAAGGACAAAAAGGAAATATATAAATTCACTTTCATCATATATTTAGGATTCATCACAATTCTAACCATTACACATTGCCAAAGAGTGAAGGTAATTAAAATAAAAGCAGTGTCAGAGAAAAAAAAACATCTGACACACACCATATTTTTTTCTTTTTTGCAAGCAGGAAAGTCCAGGTTGTGGCTATGATATGAACATTGTAGGTCATTATTTGCATAACTCTCTGTGCATACAGTTGAGAGAGTGGGGAGAGGAGAGGGAGGGAAAGAGATAGCCAAATACACACATCTCCACTCAGGTCTAGTTTCAACCATTTTCAAATTAGCTCACTTGGGCATGTATTAGGTCAGGACAGATAAGCTCAAATTAAACTCATTCTCAAGAGCTTAAGATTCTAAACAGAAAACAAAAAGAAATAATTTTGATAGTTACTGAATTTCAGGCATGGCAGACCTAAATTTTTGGGGCCCTGAAACTTAAACAGTAGACTGTAAGAATAATTCTATTTTGCAAGTGACTGTTGCATTAACAATTTCTTGGAGATTGATCAATTTTCTCCAGATATATCCTACTATTTAGCCCATAGATGAGGGAGAAGAGATGGAGACATACCTTTCCCAAGAGTATTTGTACATAAGTGAATGTAACAAAACCGGACTGGAATTCAAACTGATTTCTCATTCCAAACTGATATCCAATACACTGCCCTGACAGCCACCAATCTTCAAGGAAAAATATAACAACAAGTCAACCCTCTTGTAGCAAAATTTTACCCACCACATTCTTCTTTCTTCTCCTGCAACTCTTCAAGTTCCATGGTATCTCCTCTTCTAAATGTGTACCCAGCTGACTGTGACCGTCATTATCAGGCTCAAAAGTAGGATGTTTAAATTCAAGTCATCCGGATTTGTGATGTGGCTCACTGTCTAGCAGTAGTGACAACACTCAGCCTTGTGTACATCATCTCCAAGAACACTTCTTGAACATAAGATTAACCAATTTCCTCACACTTTCTGCAAAGATTTTCACTCAAGCACAAATTTCTAGAACAGGATCTCTACTTGCACATCTGGCTTTTGCACTTTTATGGTGTTGATCTACTTGTACAAAAATGTGTCAACATCAGCTAATGTCAAGTTGAGGCTCTGGTTTAGTTGCAAACTTACAATCACTTGTTGAATATGCTCTTCTTTTGGTCTCTTCAAGAAGCAATCTTTGTCTAATGGCAGGCTAAGATTTATTACTGATACAGTAATTGTAGCACAAGGCTGAAAAAAAAAAAAAAAAAAAAAAAAGTGGGGGTGGACTGGCCAAGGTTGGTCATCACTAGCTATCTTATACCTAGCTAATCAGATTCATGACCCATTCATTCGTTACAATATACTCAGTCAGCATAAGAATTTATCAGTCACTGTTCGTTACTTCATACACACTGGACACCTACTGGGAAAACCACATCATGAGCTAAAAATCCCAATATGTACAATTGTGTAGTGTGTAGTGTGTGTGTGTGTGTGTGTGTGTGTGTGTGTGTGAGTGATTACACACACACAAACACATATATAAAAAAAAAAGAGCAATGTTGGTAGGACATGTAACCCCCCCCCCAACACACACACAAAAATAAGAGTGACTGCTGTATTCCATCTTCCAGCAAAACCAAGAGGTTCTCTCACTAAGGGAGAGGGAAAGTATAAAGAATTGTGGGCATTAGAAAATTCAAAAACTGACCCTGTCGAGATGAAAAGAGTGGTCCAAAACAAACTGGGGAGGTTGGGAATTTCAACTTCCTAACAGCAATAGATACATGACGGGGTTCATACAAAGTTTGTGTATGCTGTTAAAATTCCAGGAACTTTTAAATGTTATTTAAAATCACAAGGTATTGCGTCAAAGCAAAAAAAAAGTTTCCAGTTACATTGTTTTTTCTTTTTTTTTGACAAAACCTTTCATTCATGGCATTATTAATCATTCATCAAAAAAATATTCCCATAGATTTTTATGGCCGTATTTGACCTTTCATCTAAAAGATTAATTACATCATAAAAGAACAATATATTGATTCGAGTCAAAGAATTTGGGGGATATCTATCATCTTGTTTTCCAAATGCATCACTCAAACAAGCCAGTTGCTCACTGTAGCAATGCACAAGAACAATTTATCATGGTTCTAGAAAGTTAGAAAGAAATGCTTTGAACCCCAAATGATTTCAGGGTTATCACAGAACCTTTTTCTCTATCAGAAGTTTCCATTTAAGTTAAGGCAAGTGACACATCCACTGTCAGTGTTTTTCTGCTTGAACAGCATAGTAAAAATAATTTGTAAATACTAAATTGGCCGGAATACACAAATCCAAGGTGGACATGCTGATCCACAGGTAAATAATCACTTCATTTTTGACATTATATACATACATAACACACACACACAAATATATATATATATTAGTGGCATGGCCCTCAATGTTGAATGTTCAATCAGATGTATGGCCAATTTATTAAGGGACACACTTTCTTTGTTTCCTCTTTGTTTTTTTCTTCCTTTGTTTAGACCAAGCCCTGTCTTGATTAAGAAATGGCAGGAAAGAATCTGTATCGCCTAACAACTAGACAGACTGACCTCCTATGGGAGTAAGTAAAAGTTGGTGACTCAAGCCCATGGGACATGCACCACCAAGTAAGATTTTTGAACTGTAATTTTAGTTCCCCCCCCCGATAATCCCTGACCGTGAGTTTGCAAGTAAATCATCTCTCATCATGCGCTCATGAGAGATGTATCTATGGAACTTGTTTTGTAAGGAATGAGATATCATTCCTAAAAATCCTGGATTTACTCAACTACAGGAAACTTCAAATTCACGGTTCCAGAACCATTGGACTCTGGATTTAACAGACAAAATTCACAGAAACTGAGACCCTACCATACAATCACGGTACTTTCATAGTAGTATTAGACCATCACAGCAATGCTTAAAAAGGTAAACTTTAAAACTTCTCAAGCTTTATTTAAAGGTAAATTTAAAAACGTAACACACACAGCATGTGTGTGTGATTTATTTTAAGTTACTATACAGTAACTTAAAAAAAAAATTTAATAAACTTTTTATGGTCATGTATGTTGACGTGAGAAAGAATCATTTTTTTTTAAGGAAGGAAAGAGATATTTAAAAAAAAAAAATCCAGAGTGTAAATTCCATGAAATACAACAGTTTGATGCTTTGGCACACATCAGTGATGTTTTTTAGCCGAGGGTCATTAGTGGTTTCTGGACTTTCAACATCATACTCTCTCTCTCCATATTGACACAACCAATAATGATCGAATATTGACTTGTGTGCCATCTGTCAGCTACAACTGTTGTCATAATGCACACAACACACTGAGACTTTTGGTCGTCTGGCATTTTATAGTCCAATAACAAAAACTTCTGGTTCCTCAGCTTCCGACTTCTTCTATAAAGAAGGGAGCAAATGTAGTATCCATGTCGCTTCTCGAAGCACTCTCGATTTGAAGTGAGTAATGATCTTTTGTTTCACACACCGAGAGATGCATACACATAAATAACCAATATAATAATTTTTAAATAATAAAGTAATTCTAATACATTTATTTCTTTTAAAAGAAGTATAATCTATTAGTAATTAGAATTAGAAATATTATTTTAAAATGGTATTTTAATACAATGTACTCATATTCAAACAACCCTTTTGGAAAAAAATCTTTATGCATACAATCACAAATTTAATGGGTGGGAGTACCAAAAACGTTTTGTCATTAAAAAAAAAAAAAAAAAAAAAAACGACATGAAAAACAGTTTATCATCATTTGTTGAACAGGCACTCCTACCCTACCTTAACCTCATTTCGAAAGTAATTCATATTTTGATACAATAGTTGTCAGTGAAAATGAATACCCTACCACCCCTTGTCAAAATGATTGAATTTCCCCGTATCCTTAGAAACTAATATTATGAATCTATGTGTTTATAAAACTCAGTAAATTTCAAAATAAGTTATTCCAAAATTTGGTTGAAAATGAAACAGTACTAGGGATTTTAATTCTATAATTAAATTCGAAGTTTTTAGTTTCTGGTTTTGAAACCTGGTAATTCCTCTGTAGCAATGGAGCCATATTTTTAAATTAGTATATATTTTGAACAATAAGAAAATAAAAAATTAAAATCTTTAGACACACTGGGTTGTAGATTAATATTCTTTCGTTTTTTTTTATTATTATTCCATTTAGATTCCTCGACTAGTTTTGACCGAAATGGCCATCATCGGGAGGAGAAATATTTCTGCTTGCTGGTAGCAGTGAACTACAGAAATGAATGTCTTGATGGAGAAAATGAACTTTTGTCTGTAGTTTTCATTTGTTTTTTTTATTTTTTTTATCTTTTTAACATGAATCTTTTAACATTCCTTGTGTTGGTCAAACAGTCTCTTTTAAGTTGTTATTTGAGATAAGAGCTGGATAGATACATATTATTCTGAATTCTCTGGTCAGTTTGACAGTTTTATTGGACCTGGTGAGGGGATGTGTCTCTGTTTAGTGTTTGTGTGTGTGTGTGTTATTTGGTTCTTAGGGAGTGAGTGAGTATGATATGTGTAAGCGTGTGTATTGCTGTAGGTGTGTGTTATCATTTGGCTCATTAGGGAGTGAGTGAGTATGATGTGCGTAAGTGTGTATATTCATGTGGGTGTGTGTATAAGTGTGAGGCCTCCACACCTCCGTAAGCATGTCTGTCTTGTGTGGGTGAGAAATGTGGGTAGGTTTTGATTTGTTGACTATCTATATATTGTTAAATTTATGATTTAGCCCGGCTGGGTATTTTGTTTTTAGATGTTGTATCCACTTATTTTCATGGGACTCTAAAATCTTTCTAATGTTATCTGCTCTGAACTTTTCTATTCTCTCAATTATAGTGAATTTGGCATGGGTTTTGAAATCATGTTTTTCCAGGCGGAAATGTTGTTCTACATACATTTTTATATACATATATATATATATATATATATATATATATATATATATATATATATATATATATATATATATTGAAAACAACACTTAAGGCAATAGGCTGTTTCATGCTAGACGCAATTGTCAGGCCTGACGATTGTGTCTAGCATGAAACAGCCTGTCACCTCTAAGTGTTGACTTCAATGTTCACTTTCATATTTACACATGTTCTATCTCTGATATTGAGCACTTTACCCCATAAATATAGCACACCTTAAGAGCATATTTCTTCATATATATATATATATATGTGTGTGTGTGTGCGTGTGTGCATGATAAAGAACAAATACTAAATATTTATCAATCTAATGTTTCACAGATATCATACTCTAATGAAGCTTTAATAAGAGTAAAACATTAGATAGATAAACATTTCTTATCAATGAGAGACACAAAGACAGAGACACAGAGAGACACAAAGAGACAGAGGGACACAAAGAGACACAGAGGGACACAAAGAGACACAGAGGGACACAAAGAGACACAGAGGGACACAAAGAGACACAAAGAGACAGAGACACAGAGGGACACAAAGAGACAAATGCTATTTTTAGTGATAGCCATATTTGTGCAGTCACTGTTTATTAAACGATATTTTATTTTGTCTACCGGCTTGAACATTTGAGAAATCTTATAAAAGAAAATGTGCCCTCTAGCAGGATTGAACCCTGCATCCCGCATTGCAGGAGAAAATGTTTTTATCCAATATGCTTTACCCATTTGGCTAAGAAGAGCCTCATAATCAAACAAATTTCTATTTGCCTTTAAAGCAGACTTTACTCAAATCAAAGCATGTCTGGTTAAACAGCGCTTTCTTCTGCAAAGGGAGATGGGACACAGGACCAAATCTTGCATTTTCTTTAAGTTTTCTCAAATGTTTAGGCCAGTTGAGAAAATAAAGGTATTATTTAAAATAAACAGAGCATATTCTCAAATATGGGTATCCACTAAAATGAAGAAAAAAATGTTTTAGTAATATGTTGGATTAATAAATACAATCCATTAATTCTTTAGGAACATATTATCCCCATAAGTAAATGAACTTGCTTCACTTTCTTAACAGTAGGTTATAAATATTAATATTTAAATTTTACAACAGTTAGTTTTCAATCCATACCTGATGATTGCCATGTGCATGAAACTCAGATTTGAACCAAATGGTGAATAACGAAATGTATATTTATTAGTGCGTATGTGTATATACTCACTTTGTCGGTAGAGCCATCCTGCTTTAGCGATTTCATAATCCATCTTCAGCTGTTAAAGATTTTGATTTAGAAACAAAAATCAGTAAATCCCTGGAATTAAATAAAAATAGCCATGATTGTTTAACAAGACTTGCCTGGAAATTCTTAGATTAGAAATTGCATGCATACTTTTGTAGTCAGTAACATTGCCAACATGAAAATATACAATGATGGTGATATACTGGAAGACCTTTTTTAATATTTTGCCAGCGGCAAAATTTTCTTGCTTTTTAATATTTTGCCAGCGGCAAAATATTAAAAAGCAAGAAAATTTTCTTAGGAACAAATATAAGAGTATTAAAGTTAATATCAGTCCTATAATTATGGCAATGAATATTGGCCAATCTCATCACAGATGGAAAGACTTGAAGCAACAGAAATATGGTTACTTACAGAAGGATGCTGAAATGGACTGAACATGTGAGTTCACAAAGAAGTTTTAAGGAAAATAGAAACAAAAAGGTCAGTTATACTTAGAATCAGAAAGAAACAGTTGGCGAGCTACAAAAGGTAGGAAATAGTAGAGGGCTATGATCGCCCACGTCCTGAAGAAAAACAGCACATAAGGAGCATTAATTACGGCCAAGTTTTCTTTTCAAAGACGAAGAGGGAATTAAGAATGATGGAGTTTTTAACGTTAACATTCAACTCCAGAGATATTTTTTATAACAAATAAAATAAAATCCTCAAAAAGACAGGCCGTGAATGTGAAAAGATCTGTCCTTGTTGGATCTGGGATTTTATGAATATGGAATTAATTTTGAAACTAGAAATTGTCTTGTTTAAAATTATTGTCTCCCCATATGTTTTTTGTTTTCGTTCAATGAAAGACTTATCCCCGATTTTTTTCTCTTTTTTTAGTTTACATTTACAATTTGTAATTTGTTGCACTGATATCCTTATAAAAAATATAGTCTTTTTACAAACATTATGATTGAAAGTAGTTTGAATAAAGATTTGCTCTTTCTTTATCGATTTTTTTTACAGCTGACCATTTTTCTCGCATATCAATGAATTTATCAATAATTTTTATTTTTTTAAATCAGGAATGTTTCAGGATCCCAAAATAGCTTAACTTCAGAAGAGTTTTTATCTAAGTAAAAACATGAGTCATGATAATTTCTCAGAAAAGAGAAAAATAGTTTTTATACAGAGGAAAAAGTTCAAAGTACTTAGGACGGATATTGATTAACAATAGAAATTAAATATTGATAAAAAAACAAATCACATAATAATAATTTAAAATGCTTACGTTTTAAAATAAAGAATTCTCCAACAAAAATAATTATTTAATCGAGTTAAACTAGAGAGACTTTCACTTTATGTTCGAACGTTATGCAAAACTGCTGTAATAAAAAATTGTCAAACTATTTTTTTTATTACTTCTTTTTTTTTAGTCTATTTCATCAAAAGTTCTCACTTGAAACAAATCTAACAGTTATATGTACCAACATACACAAAAAAGTAATTATTTAAAAAAAAAAAAAAGAAAAAAAAAAGCTTAAAGTTCTTTTTACAGACTGACTTTGTAACTTATTCATTGATCAAATAATGAAGTCTTGTCTTTGAAGACCTCATTCATTATGGATTTTTTTTTTTTTTTTAAATGTAAACGGATTCTCTAAGCACGTGCATCGCGCCTGGTTGTTTCGAACCGCACCCAGTCTTTTAGTTCTTGCGTAATTTCCCCCCCTCACGCGTGTGGAGCGTTTTTTTTCTTTTTTGTTTAACTTTAATCAACATTAATTCCATTGAGAAATAATTAGGGAAAGTAAATTTAAATAAAACTTTTTTTTTGTATCGGAAACAATATTTTTTGTTTTGTTTCTACTTTTTAAACCTGTTAAAAGAGAAACGAGTTGAATTATTTTTTTACAATAAATATTACGTTACGGTTACCGTTAAAACTACAGAGAATTTCATTAAAAAAAAAAATAAATAAATAAATAAATCGTTTAAATTTCCTCCACGTTTTATTTTTCATGTTCTTTTGATTTTATTGAATACTACATGTCCATTCATAAAAACGGAAATTTGTTTTGGCCCAAAACAAATTTCCGTTTTTTTTGGGGGAAATAATTTTTGTTTATTTATTTAATTTAAGGACTTAAAGTCCTTAAATTAAATAAAAACAAAGTATAGTTTTCTTTTCTTTATTTAGAAAAGTTGACATTTGTTGAACAAAAACCTGATCATGAGGAAAAGAAGTCAATAAAAAAAAAAAAACAACTCATTAGTGTACTGTTTTTGTTACTAGTGTTTAACAATTTTGAAAGTTGATCAACAATCAGCATCTGTTGAGTTTTCTAAACAACTAATTAAATTTTATTTTTAATTTTCATGTTGAAAATACGTTCTTTTCTTGACATGAAACGAAAAGTTTAAATTAAAAAACAAAACAAAAAAGAACTCGATTTGGAAGAAATGACATCCGAAAAGCATAAAAGGAAATGAAGTAAAGAAAAAAAAATCCCTTTTTAACTGTTATCTGCAGTTAAAAAGTTTTCTCACTTCTTTTTAACATTACTAATTTTTATATTTTTTCATTTTGTCATTCAATTTATCCACTTGTTTAAATAAAAAAAAAAAAAAAAAAAAAAAAAAAAAACAAAAGTTTTGTTACAAAAAAAACTAACCGTGCCTTTAGGGTGGGGGGGGATTGTGACCCATGAACTACTAACTAACAGAACTGTAAAGTTGAATTTTTTTTTTTAATTTAAAAAATGGTTTTTGATTAAAAAATTTGTTTTCCCAAATTTTTGAGAAAGATCGACTTTTAAAGTTATTATCCAAAGAAAATGAATAATAAATAAACAAACTTTATATGGCAAAAGGGGTTGAGTTTGGATTACAGGCTTATTATTATTAATAACATTTCAAAACAAATGCGCGATATCTAGTTCTCTCAAAAAATGGCGGACAGGCTCGGTGACCGATATGAAAACCAGAAATCTTCTTCTCATAGATTCTTTTCACATAAAAGTAAAACAGTTTTTAAAAAATACAATGACGCCTCTTTAATTCGTTATCTGAACTTTGGTTAATGCAACCAAAATAGACGGCACAGGGAAAATAAAAAATGTTGCCTATTTGGGTTGTGATTTAAATTTTAAAAATAAATGAAGTACTTCATTATAAATGAGAAGTAAAAAAAAAAAAAAAAAAAAACGTATTTTCTACGACTTTCTACACGAGTATTTGACAAAGGGTGATCAATCATCTTTGAGTAAAATTGAAAAGAATCTAGCTTATAAGCTTTACGAAAAAAAATATCTGATGCTTCTTCCATAGTTTCTCTAATTAAATATTTTCATACTATCGAAATGTTTTCAATGAGAAAATGAAACGATACGAAACAAAAGTAAAAAATGATAATATTTTTTTTTTTAGTCATAACATAAATACTGATAAAATGACTTACCACGTAGAAAAGATAAATGCTTGATCCGATATTTATATTTCTTTGTTATGTTTCTTTCGGGATAATAAAAAAAACACAAGATAAATTTAACCAGCTAAAAATATGTTCACTTCTTGTTTATATCTTCATAGCGAACGGAAGTGACATAATTTCTGTAAGATGTACTTCCGGTAATTTATTAAACATCATGAGCGAAAATAATCCTCTGACTTAAAACAAAGTTGTTTAAGAAGTTTGTAAAGCCGTTCGCAATAGTTTTTTTTTATCATCTTTAATTAAATTGGTTTAAAGTACTAGTAAATTCGGAATAGAAGGATATGTTGGAATATGGGTGAGATTAAAAATTCGTTCAAACGGGGAAAATAGATGATCAAGCAAGAAGAGTCAAGACATTTGAATAAAAAAAATAATAAAAGTTTTAATTATTCCAACGTATTTCTCTAAACTGAGAGATTTGGGAAAATAAAATAAACGCGGAATTTGGAATAACAGTGGGTAGGTTGAGAAAAAAAATAAAGATATAGGTAGCCGCCCATGCCCGTCTATTCCAGGAGCGAAAATGAGCTTCGTTGAAGTGTACACATACCATTGTAAAAATAATAGTGACAGAAAAGTACTATTTCAATTTTTATCCGATATGTCATTGTATTTATTAATATGCCTTACTCTTCTCACCAGTAATTTTTTTTTTTTTTTTTGGTGGCGGGGAATAGTTTCCCTTCCCTCCTTAGAACAACCATTCATACATATATTGAATATTACTGTCACATCTGGTCTGATGTTTCTGCTATGTATTTATTGATAAAATACAATTATCGATCCTGAGCAGGCATCTTGGCTTCTGTTTTTTTCCCAACACCATAACATAGCTTCCCTTGGTCTCTATAAATATTTTCTTGATAATTGTTCTGATGAGCTTCCATCTTTATTACCTAGAGTTTACAAATTTTTTTAAGCATAGTGCTAGATTGGCAGCTCGGTATCATCATTTTACAGTTGAAATTGCTATATGTAACCAGAATTTGTGCTACTATATGATATCTACCAAGGTATTTGCAACTTACCGTAAATGACACTGCACTCTACCAAACAACCCACTTACAGCCTATAGCAATTAATTCCTCAAATTACATACAGTGTTATTTTAACCTAAAGAGTGGGGTATTTATCTAATTTGTATTCATAATGGAGGTATTTATTTAATTCCATTACAAAATAAACAAGCTAATGTTAGACAAAATAGGGTTTTTAACATATTTTGTACTTCCAACAGTTGGCAAACATCATACCATAGCAGAAAATGAATAGTAGATATCATACTATAGAAGAAAATGAATAGTAGATATCATACTATAGAAGAAAATGGATGGTAGATATCATACTATAGTTTCACCCCAGAATTTCTATGCTAACAGTTTTTTCTCTCACAATTCTCATTTGTGGAACTCTCTTCTGGTTTCTTGTTTTCCAGTCAATCATTATCTTCTGTCTTCTTCATTCCTATCCTTTTATTGTTCTCTCTCCTTAATAATGTTTTCTTTTTCTCATATTCTTTTACACTCAGTAAGCCATTACGTCTTAGT